AACCTGTATGGCTTTCTTTCTTTTGTGAAACACAAAAGAGGATATTTGGAGATACGTCTCGCTGTTTTATGACCATAAAACAGAAATCAATGTGACTTCCTTCAAAGTATCTTTTTCGTGTCCCCCAGAAGAAAGTCATACAGGTTTGGAAAGACGAGTTCTGTCTCAGCAGTGGTGTTCAGGAATCAAGTACCTCTCCTTCTTACTGCCCAGTTTGTTGGCTGTGTATTGATCCCCATAACCTGTGAGGTTCAGCTGACGAGAAAAGATGTTTACTCGGTTGCCAACAAACAGATCCTCTGGATGAAGCTCATCAAACTTGGTCCTCCGTAGGAAGGTGCGCTGGTTCTTCATATCAAACTATATAAGAGAAGCATACATGTGAATAGACAAATCTCAAACATAGCTAGAAGTCAGGGTCTAAAAATCTGAGTATAGGAACGCACCATCTCCACGGAGCCATCTTTAGGGTAGTAGAGCAGCTGGTATCGTCGCAGGAGAGCAGCGCTGGGGTCGTACCACTCAGCCAGGAAGGCAAAGCGCTCATCCTGTGCATAACACAACACACACAACAAAACACACAGTCAAGCCAGGCACGGCAGGGGAATGTCACTGATCTGACCCTCATGCTTGGACAGGGAGTCACAACAGCCGTGCTCTGATCCTCAACACAGACGGGTAGCTGGGTCAGAGGTTTAGACCCCTCTGATCCCCTGGGGAGCTTCGCTGCAAATGTGGAGCCATTGTCCAGCTGCTGGAGCTACTGCTCCTGAAACTGTGCACTACACACTTGTGCAAACATTAGGGCTGCACAAATATAGAAACTATCAATAGATCAATAGACTACAGATAATATATTTTAAATTCATAGAGTCGTCATTAGAGGGGCAACCCAGAAATGTTGTGTGGGGCCCTGTGATGAGGAGGGGCCTTTATACTATTGCCTACTCATGGGGCCTGGGGGAGATGGAATAAAAACATTTCCGGAGTGGTCCTTTATATTTATACTATTAAAAAAAGAATGAAAACAAAACACAAAACAACCTAAAATGCTAATACAATGTCCTAACCCCACACAAAGTTAAAAAGTGACAAGCAATAAAAAGCTCCATATTAATGAATTAATGTATTTTTTTCATGTCCAGCCATGTATGCCAACAACACAAAACAACAAAACTAATAATAATAAAAAAAATAAAGTGCACTTCATATTGTTTGAATTCGCACACTACTTGCACCATGTATACTACAAAACGGCATAGAATAGTGCATGCAAATTAGGAAGACACCTATGGTGACTAAACATATATGAATTTAGTCAACACAAGATTACAATATATATAGTACCATATGGTGTGGACAACTGTTTGTATATAGTGAGAACTGGTAGACAAAATGCTATATATATACTGCAACCCTAAAAAACATGTCTCTAAAGCAGGAGACTTAAGATATTGCCTTTTTTCATAAAAATTAGTATTAGTCATAGCCAAGATTCCATGAGTATTTAATACAGGACTTGTTGAAAACAAAGTATGTAATAAGTTATTAAAATAGACAGCATATAAATCTCTGTGAGTGTGACTGTTGTTTCACTATTAAGTGGCTGATTTCACCTTGACACCAACTCAGAAGTGCCCTTGAACAAAACATGGAGAGCAAGCATGTTGGTGTGATCTTTGTTCCCCACAGAGCGCCACCTTGTGGGTGAAATTCATAGCACAGGCTGTAATTCAGGGTGCTATAGCTAAGGCCATGAGCAGCATAGCGATGAGAAATGATCTGTTAATCTACTGTTGATCAGTGAACATCAAAACTCAAGCAAACAACGGCAGGCCTACAACAGTGACTCATAAGATTCATTAATATTCATAATAACTGACATAACTGGCAGATAATCATCATCAGTATATATCAGAATGGCAGTGCTTTAATGTTACATTTCTAGGCACTATGCCATCCATCCTCCAGGCCACATGCTCGCTAATTCATAGCGGCAACATGTCAACAACACTGAGCCCAAACATGGCATCACATTATCCTAACTAATTTAACAACAGATCATTAGTGCATCTGCAACATAACGCGAATGCTTTCTCATTCCTCAAACCGTAGAGACTCAGTGAGAATCCCTTTAACGTAATTGAGCTATCTTGAATCTAACAGGGCCTCTTCCCCCAAACAAGAGCTATTTTTACCCCTCAGTCAGCTGGGACTGAGATAATATTGACAATGAACAGTCTTCTTTGTACAAATACGCTGAGGCACAGGTCTGAAAAGCCATAAGTCACATTAGGATTTCCAGTGAAGTTTTGTACCAATGCTAAAAGTTCCAGGTGCTGTACTGAAATTGATAGTTATTATCACCTCTCATATGAGGCCTTAACAAGAGGTAAAAATAAATGTTAAGACTGTTGAAATATTTTCCCCACAGCACATTAAATAATTTACATAATGAAAATATTTTTACTTAGGAAGATTGTCTTTATTTTTCTATTACTGTATTTTTTAAAATCAAATATACATTTACTTTAAAGAAAATGACTTGTGGCTTTTCTTTTCTTTTTTTCATTTTCTTTGGTTTGTTAAATGTTGTTTGGAAAAGCAATGATGAATTAAAAAATTTCTTATGCATTATACGTTATGTGACTTGACTTTTTTCAAAAAAGTAATAATAAAATATATATTAAGACTTGTTTTCTGAAAAATGTATCCAAGTTTATGCTTAAAACAAGATAATATATCAATGGGGTAAGAAAAATAATCTTGTTTTTATAATCTCTGACTTAAGTTTATTTTTCTTACCCCACTGACAATTTTTTTAGTTTTTTTCAAAAAACAAGACAAGTCAATTTGCTTCTCAAGTAAATGTATCTTGAGTTAATAGTGTTTAGATATTTGTAGTGGAAAACAAGACGAAAAATACTGAGTAATAAAATCATTATTTTGCAGTGTGGTGCAGTGCAGCTTTGTAACTAGAATATGACAGAAACAACTGATATATTAAAACACTAGCCTACATTTTCATGATCAAGACAACTGCAGTGTTTGGTGGCATTTTTCCAGTCTGAAAGAGTACATTTCAGCGGGTAGTCACCCCCTACAGCACATAGGGGCTATATTTCCACATTCTGCCTGGGGCCAAAGTTACCTGAGGACATCTGTACGTCTAAGAAGAAATATGGAAAGCTTTTTCTCCTATATTAGCACCGTTGTTGTTGTTGTTCTTAAGTGAATGCATCATGAAAACCCTTTTTTTTTTATCTGAATGGAATGAAAGCAGGAATCAAGGCATTTTGAGGGGGTGCGGGGCTCTAAATGAACATTCCAGCACAACAAAATCACAGACTCCTGGTTAATGATCCTGGCCAGATCAAACTGGAAATAGCTGGGCTTATCTGCCACCTCTAACACTGAAAAATAGGGCTTTCCTCTCAGAGCCCTTCTTGGAAGCTGAGACTTTCTCAGACACCTGCTGTTGCCCTCTGCTATCACTGCAAACATTTCATGCTGTCTGTATGGAGATGGATCAATGTACACTACTTAAGGAGACAGAATGTGAATTGGAAAATAAACATAGTGTAGGAGCACAACAGAGCAAGTAGATGATGGTGAAAGTATCCTGTTACCCAAAGAATAACAAGGTTTTGATTGTTGAGCAAATGACACTAAAAAAAGCATATCATTCCACTTAATGACATTAAAGCTTCTGACTGAACTGGATCTGTAATTTCAGTGGAAAATGGCATCCTCCATCTTCAATATGATGTTGTAGAGCCTCAAGCCAGACAGCTAGTTTTCAAATACAGTTGAAAAACAGTTAAGCAGCTTACTGAAACCTGCCAAAACTAAGTTCAGTCAGAGCATTCTTTTGATTTCTTTCTTTTGGTTCTCGAAGAACCTCAAGGAGGCCAATGCTGACATCTAGTGGCAGACAAATGAGAGCATTCAGTACGTCAAGAGCTTTTAGTTATTAAAATTATGCCGTTGCAAAACTGTTTTGCTTTGTAAATTATTATGAGTTATCTTCCCTTAACTAGGATTTAAATAGCCTAGATGCGTGTTTACTTGCTTCTTCACTTGCTATGACTTAATGCATCGCTTTATTATAGTCTACATGAGAATGTACTCATGGTATTTTATATTTAGTGCAGACAACACAATTAATCTCAATGGTTTATGTGACTTGAGTTTCTTTTATTCGAAAAACTTATACTGTTAAAAAGCAAACGACTTCCGCCAAAACCACAACAAACATTCATGATCATGAGTTGAGTCCTTTATTACTCATATCTAAGCAATGGAAAAATATACTCTCCCACTTACCATGTCTGAATTCTTTAAAGGAATGATAATATTTGTTGATTGTTGTTTAACAGACGGTTGATTGTCTTCCTTTAGCCTCGCTGTAAAGTCCCATCACCATAGTAACAACATCAAACGGGCTACCGTCGAATAAAATAATAAACCATAACGTTACCTCCTGTGAACTCGTAACTATATTGCGTGGTGTTTTAACATTCAGCTAATTTCGATTTTAAAGTCTGGTGAGTAAATAGACGTTTCGGGCGCCAATAGTTTGCTTATATGAGTCTTACTGTAACCCGGAAATAGTAGTTTCTGACCTTTACCTCCAACTGCCACTCGCACATGGGTTTGTTATGGTGTGTGGTCCAGTGTTGCCAACTTAGCAATTTTGTTGCTAGATTTAGCAACTTTTCAGACTACCCTAGCAAGTTTTTCTTCCAAAAGCACCTAGCAACAAATTTAGCCATTTTTTTTAAATTTATTTGGCTACATTTAGCAACTTTTGATAAGTGACTCATATCTAAATTAACATATTTTAAAAAAAAATTTTTTTTGCTGAGACAATTTTGCATCGTGATTACGCAATGACGTCACCGCGCAATGACATCGCGTCATTTAGCAACTTTTAGCAACAAATCAACCTTCCTTTAGCAACTTCCCCTGAAAATTAGTTGGCAACACTGGTGTGGACTTTGACACTAGTTTCGCTTCGGTATTATTATGCAGAGCTTCTTACCAGGGCTATTAAGCTATTGGCTACAATTTAACATCCTTTTAAATTTAGGTTTAGTTGCAAATGTGTGACAATGTAAGACAAATGTCTTTTGCTGTAATTCAAAAGTGATTTAATGTTTGGTTGAGGTTTAAAATTGAAAGGTATTTCCACGAACCACAGCAGTCCAAATGGATCCCAGTCCATTCATTTTAGATGGAGGTTCATAGACATATAAATACCTAGACGCCTCATTGGCCGCTTTGAGCCGTTGCTGCGATACGTCAACGCGTCCGCCAAAGGCTGAAAAGTGTTAAATGTAATGCAGTAAAGACATTTGAATTACAAAATTATTCAAGACTCAAAAATATATATTTTACAGACTTGACACATTGCTGCCACAAATATTTTTTCCAGTCAATTATGTCGTGATAATGACATAAACATTATGAGAAAAGATGTTGTTAAAATGACATAACATCTCATTATTACAACATAGTTGAGTGGAAAAAATAATATGTGTTTGGCAGCAATGCTTCACCATACTATTTCAAATAAATGCTTTCTTTTCATTAAAGAATTCTGGACAAAAATATATATCTGAAAAAAGACTGGAGTAATGGCTGCTGAAAATTCAGCTTTACCATCACAGGGGAATTTTTAAAAAAAATGTTAAAATAGAAAACTGTTATTGTAGATTTTAACAATATTTCACAATATTAGTTTTTTACTGTATTTTTGTATAATGGAGGTTTAGCAACAGAACTTGAAGCAAGTGGATTTCAATTACAGGTAGGTAGTACCATTACACAGACTTATTGTCAACAATCACAAGTTTAATCACGCATATATTGTATTTGCAGGGAGATCCACTATGGAGTGCACGAATTTTGCATTCAAACCCACAGGCCATTAAGGACGTACATTACAGGTAATTACAGGCTTTATTATGTTCTGTACCTGAGTTGTCAAGCAATGTCTGAAGTGTGACATGGCATACTTGATGTAAAATATTTGTGAACAAATATGTTTGCTCTATATTAATTATACATACAGAGGTTTATTTAATTATTTTTGTTTCATTTTTGAAAGAATTTTTAAAAAAAATGTTAAAATAGAAAACTGTTATTGTAGATTTTAACAATATTTCACAATATTAGTTTTTTACTGTATTTTTGTATAATAAAATACATCAAATAAATGCAGCCTTGGTAGGCATACGAGACTTAACTCAAAAACATCTTAATGACCCCAAACTTTGTTTTGAATGTACATTTATATTTTCCTTCATACATGTATTTACATTTTATAATTTCTTACCAAAAATCTCTCCATCCTATCAGTCATTTGTATGCTTCTATTCTGTGAAAAGAACTATTAAATATTTGCTGAATGTTTGATTTAACTTGCTTTAATGGATATCTTCAAAGCGGTTCTGATGTTATAACAACAGCCACATATCAGGCCAGCATTGAGGGATTTGTGAAATATCTTGATCTCCGGCCTGAGGAGGCTCAGCAGATGATAATGTCAGGGGTTCAACTGGCAAAAGAGACAGTCCGTGAGTTTATGTCTCACTCAACTGTATCAGGTGTGTGCAAGCAAGCCAACTACTAAATCATGAATTCTATCTAGTTTCTGAAAAAATGTAGAGACACCAGCTAACGAATAATTCCCCCAGAAGACAGAAGAGAGCCTGTGGTTGCAGGTTCAGTGGGTCCATATGGGGCGTTTTTACATGATGGGTCCGAGTACACAGGAGCCTATGAGGACAAGATGACAGTGGAGGTAATGCAGGATGAAGCTCTCTGTCCACCCAAGCCGCCACCACATAAGAATTTAAAGTGTGTGTTTTCTCTTTTGTCCTAGGAGTTGAAAGACTGGCATCGTCCACAGATCCAGTGCTTAGTAAAAGCTGATCTTGTTGCCATGGAGACCATTCCAAGTCTCAAAGAGGCAGAGGCTTTGGTGGAAGTACTCAGAGAATTTCCAGAAGCTAAAACCTGGCTTTCCTTTTCTTGTAAGGTGACTGATACACTGCATTATATGTTATGATATCTATTATCTAATGACAAATTTCATTCATAAAACACTTGCAACTGTTTATGCTCACGACATTGCTATTAATGCAGTTAATGTGTTTCAGGACATTCAGAATATTTCAAGCGGGAGATTTTCTGAGGCGGTTCAGGTGGCTTGTAGGTCCTCACAGCTGGTGGCCGTAGGGGTGAACTGTTGTCCTGCTCCGTTAGTGAAACCGCTTCTAGAGTCAGCCAAGTCACTCAAGAAAGCAGATTTGAGCTGGGTGGTCTATCCTAATAGTGGAGAAGAATGGGACCCCAAGACAGGGTAAGGTTAATCAGTAAGTTACAATAGAAAGTTATAATTGCCATTGATTTTTGTTTCCATTGAAAAATGTTGTTTTAAAATGATCATTTCCAGACCTGGAAAAAAACATGGACATTTATATTTGATTGTTTCATCAGAGAAATATTCCCTGTCTTAAATAATTGCTCTTTTCTACATCTTTTATTTATATTTTTGAGATCAGATTTTTAAAAAAGACTCTTATTTAGCAAAGTAATAGTTTCAAATCAAGGCTGTTCTTTTGAACTATTTCATTAAAGAAAAAATCAAACACATTTCATAGGGCCTTAAAACTGTCATTTTTGTTATTTTAATAAATTGCTGGTAAATTGTGTAAGTTTCATGATTTCAATTAATTAGAAATGCTTTTCTATTAACAACAATTTAGTATAACCATCAAAATTTAAAAGGGGGAAAAAACGGAATCCAGAAAACTTTAAATGGAAAAAACGGAATTTGGAGAAAAAAATAAAATAAAACGGAATTTGGGAAAAAATAAAACCGATTTCATACAACTGTTTTCAACATTGATAAATGTTTCTTGAGCACCAAATCTGCATATTAGAATGATTTCTGAAAGACAATGAACACTGGAGGTATGGCTGTTAAAACATTCAGTTTTACCATCACATGAATTGAATGAATACATTTGAAAATATATTAAAACAGACTAACAGTTGTTTTCAATTGTAATAATATTTATTTACAATATTATAGTTTTTATTTTTTTCAAATAAATGCAGCCTTGGCGAGCACAAGATCCTTAAAAAAATGTTTGTATAAATAAATAAAAAAAACATTATAATCCAATAATCATAAAAGTAAAACATGTGGGAACACTGAACTTATTTACTGATTTGTCTCAATAGTTTGATTGTGTAAGTGGCTGTTCTGTGGCTATTTCAGATGGAAAACTAAAAAACGCACGTCATTTGCCAAACCAAGTCTCGACTGGAAAGAACAAGGGGCTTTGTGGATTGGTTGGTATTATTTTGTACCAGTAAATAAGCTTTACTGTACACTTATACTATGACTTGTTCTTTTCAGTTGCGCTGACTCACGGAGAGCTGATTTCGGTCAACAGGTGGCTGCTGCCGTGTTGGTCCTGCTGATATAACTGAGCTGAAAGAACATCTACATGTATAGCCGTGACTCATCAAATACCATGACATAATTTAGTTTATTCTGAAATAATGCAGTGATGTGTAAGAAGGTGTATAAATATTTTATTTATAAATCAAAATAATACCAACACACTAGATTCACATGAGTATGAGCTTTGTTATGACTTGAACATTATACATTCGATGTTGCTGTGTTAACGGACAAACAATATCACAATTCACATGACATGGAAGCAATCGTGCAATCTTAGCTCACAGCGTTTCACAAAGAACGTGATTGTAATCCTTCAAGTTGCTATTTACAATAAGATGGCACCATCTTATTGGACTATGTCACAATCAGATCCATTGAAATATCAAATGGTCACATTATTAAACAGTCTGATATGTTTATGATGACCTTGACTTCGTTTGTATTTTTTAGACTTACACTAATAAAGCCATTTTTGTTTATACAATAGTAGAACCAGTCTTCATAAAGAACAGTGTCATTTTTCAGTCCATACTGTCCTCCAATGATCTACCATCAGTAGCATATAAAGCCACCGAATAGCATATAACTGAAATGGAATGATGCTATTGATCTGAAAATCAAATATTCACTTCATGTTCTTAGTACACTTAAGGTGCGGTCATTGCAAAAATTGTCCACTGTGTATAGTGTAGCAATCTATGAAGCGCAGTCACTTTCAAACCAAGCAGCTTTCTGTTGGTCAAAAACTGGGGAAATCTTTCTCCCTAACGTGAAATTCCTGATTGTGTGGATTCCTATAGAAGTTGCTGGATTTCACCTGCGAAAATGTGCAGAACAATGGTAAATGTGACCACACCTTTAGTGCAGTTAATTGCACATTTATTTAATGATTAGTTTATCCACAATATGTTTAAAGAAAGCAGCATTTTGACCTACAGGACGTGACTCAGCGTCTTGGAGAGAAAGCCATTGTTAAGTATTTCTAATCTTAATTTAATGCCACATTACTGAGAGCTCTGGAATTTGCTGTCAAATTGTGGCGTCCTCCACAAATGGCTTCTTCCTTATGGTTTGGCTTGCAACCTCATCTATGATATGCAATTCTAACCAATTCCACTGTTGCTAACAACCTGGGAAGGTAAATATTCTTGTTTAAAACTGTCGAAAACTCAATTGGCTCTTCAGGAGGAGGGGTGGACACTTTAGATTTAGTCAGTTATGTCTTCATCTAGGTCACTGTCTGGAGAGCTTCTGTGCCTGTACTCTGCTGTGTTGGACAAACGCTTCCAGGCATCCTCAGACTTGTTCCCCGTACTGAGGGATCTGCCCAGACATTTCACCGCTCGCTCCTCAGAAGCGTCCTCTGGCGCAGCTTGACCTCTGTGTTCTGGAGCCTGATGGTGGAGATCATGCCTCAGATTTTCCAAATTCAGTGCCCATGGTCCCAACTTTTGCCAGTTGACTCTCTGGAAGGCCATGATGCAATGCAGATTGCCTCCAACCTGTGAAGAAATCAGGATGCAGGGTCAGGATGCAACATTCAGACACATTCCTAAACACAGAATTCTTCATAATATTCAGGTTTTTGTAGAAATACCATCACTATAGTCCTGAAGTTCCTTACCTTTTTGGTTTTGCGATACTGAATGCCTCTCTCTATGTGGCGAATGTCGAAGTATTCTGGGTTTTGGGTGTTCAGATCCGTCACTATATCTGCCCATCTGATTGTAAACCAGGTCAGAAATTCAGAAACATAATTTATTCATAATTTCACCAAAGGACAACAATGCCATAAAATGAACCATACTTTTTACAGTGGATTGCAGGGTGTTTCCTGCTTGGTTCACCAATCAGAATCCAGTGCTCCATCTCATTAAGGTGCAGTGGCCCCCTGTAAAAAATAAAGAAAAAATAAACGAGTTTCATTCTCCATTAGAATAGGGTCTTATAAAAGTGGTAGAGGTTAATAATAGTTTACATTTTCATGACTTTTGATAATATGATACTGGTGCTCCACAATAAGTGTGGCCCAGGGTCAGCATGAGAGATTTTTGGGCCATTTGGGGGTTGGTAAGACTTTTTAATGCTTGTGAAATAAGTTTCTTAAGCTCACCAAGTCTGCATTAATCTGATCAAAACATACAATAAAATATAATATTGTGAAATATTAAAAAAGTGCATTAATACAAAATTGTAAATAACTTTTTATTTTAATATATTTTAAAATGTAATTTCCTGTGATGCTAAGTTTTCGGTTTTATCCTTCAGAAATCATTCTACCATGCTTCGACTATGAAAGCACAATACATTTTTCCCAGGATTGTTTGATGGAGAGAAGGTTAAAAAGAACATCATTTGTTTGAAATAGAAATCTTTTGTAATATTATAAATATATTTACTCTCATGTTTGATCAATTTAATGCATCCTTCCTAAATTATTTCTTAAAAAAAAAAAAAAAAAAAACTAAGTTTGCCCTGAAAAATATTTGTCATTCTGTGATGTAGAAACATACACATCATAATAGCTTTACATTTAATAAAAAAAAACATTTAAAAAAATGAAAACACTATATACACATTTTCTGGCACACATAAAAGGTCACTTAATAAACTGAATGAACAAAAAGTTAGAAATTTCTTACAACCATAACCACCTAACATGAACTAATTAAGCAGTAAATGAAAGGCAAAGTTGCTGTATGTTATACCTGTAAGCTTTGGCTGCTTTTAGTGGAGTAGCTTCATAGCCCACAGGACAGAAGTAGTGATTCTGACAATGGTAAACGTAGGCCATGGATTCGTCTTTAAGTCCCTGCGTCAGCTTCAGCAGTGCCCCCTCAGCTAGAATGAAGAAACATGCTCTACAACATGCTGCTAAAATACTTTCTGACAATATAATGTGCTCTTACAATATATAAACTATACCTGAAAGAAAACTAAACAAAGATTAAGGAAATATTTATAGACTGGATATTACATTTAAAATACTGTCTGCTTAACAAACTACATAAAAAGTGTATCTGAAGAACAACATGCTGCTGTAGCCTCTGTTCTTATGAAAAATGATTGAAAATTCACACACCTGTCTCTCCCGCTGTCTTGTGCTTTCCATGAGGTTTGTACAGAATGTAAGAGCATCCCCGGACACGGAAATTATCGTTGATTTGTCTGAACCATCTGCAGCAGTATAAAAATAGATAATGCACAGGACAAAGCAAACCTTTGGGGTCAGTAAGTTTTTTTTAGTTTTTTTTTTTTTATAACAAAATTATTTTATTCAGCAAGCATGCATTAAATTAGTCAAATGTGACAAAATTCTATTTAATAATGCAGTTCTTTTGAACTTCCTATTACATAATTTTGAAAAAATGTATCACAGTTTCCACAAAAAATATTAAACAACACAACTCTTCTTATTATTGATAATAATAAGAAATGTTTCTTAAGAACCAAATCAGCATATTACAATGATTTCTGAAGAATCGTGTGACACTGAAGACTGGAGTAATGGCTGATGAAAATTCAGCTTTGCCATCACAGGAATAAAATACATTTATTTTTTATAGAACATTGATATTATGAATTGTACTAATATTTCACAATATTACTGTTTTGCCTGTACTTTGATCAAATAAATGCAATAAATGGTGAACATAAGAGACATCTTTCAAGACCCCAAACCTTTTAAAAGTAATGTAATGAATATGAATCAAGAATGAATTAACGAAACTGTTGAAAAGCAATAAATACAGTAATCTTACCGCATCAAAGTGGCATTGCCAGTGAATGGTCCAAACTTGATATCTTCAAACGGAGGCTGGAAACCAAGTATGTGCAGGGCTTCTTCTTGAGAAATAGGTGGGAGACTGGGAAAAAAAATCCTAAAGTTACTCTTTGCAATTTCTACCAGACCAGATTAGAAATCTTAAAATAGATCAAATGAATGTGCTGTTTTTGCTCCTAAAAATACCCATTCCTTTTGTATATTTTTGAACAGTTTTTCACCATCGGAAATATTGTCATCAGATGAAAAATGTGGTCATAGATTTCAGCAAGGAACACACAGACCTGCCTGCTCCTAAAGTACTGTAGAGAAAGTTCCAACAGGAGACAAGTGAGGAGATTCCACATGATGTCTTATATTGGGGGCGGCTGATGCAGTACCTAGAACATTAGAGGGAACAGTTGTTAAACTTGCACTCTTTTGAGTCTAATTTCTCTTTCCAGTGAGGGAATTACCATCTACGGAGGTCCAAGACTTTTCTCTGTTTGATCTCCTCCAGAGAAGCTTGTGCTGGGAGATCTTGCAGGTTTCTGCTTGGCCTGTCAGATGATTTCATTTTCTTAGAGTTGAATTTCTTTAAATTACCTGAGAAACAACACAGACTTCATCCTTTAATAACATTCTAAGTAATATATTAGACTCATGCTGGTTCAGATTTACACTCACATATCTACTAGGATCAAGTAGGTTCTTAAAATGAAGAATGGCTTAGCTGGAGTTTGGATAAAGGCAGGCTCAATGTTAAAGGAATAGCATGACTATCATTCCAAATTTGCCCTGTGCTCTTTGTCTCGGCAACGATTCCTCAGATCAGCAATTGTGTAGTCATCCCTAGACTTCTTTTGATCAAGTAATAAGTGATGGAACACTTCCAATACATTCTGTCTATAAACTCTTAAATCTGGGATTAATTACAAATTAAAACATAGTCTGTTCACAATGAGGTGAAAAGCATGTGACACAGTCACTAGTGTCAGTAAGGCCATCGATGGAGTTACATAAACCACAGCAGATGGTCAGTATGAGCTCATTTTCCTGGCATATTATTGCTCAACAGCTTGTAGATTTAAAATGACCCTGATATTTTCAAACTTTTTTTCATATTTCATAATTAGTTTACTGAAAGTAACATTATTGTCATAGTTCATAAGCCTCAAAATATATTTATAAAGGTGATATGTGCTCTACAGCAGGGGTTTTCAACATTTTTGATGGCAAGGACCCCCAAACAAGATGATCCCCATCCTGAAATATATACACTTCCAGTCAAAAGATTTAGAACAGTAAGATTTTGAATGTTTTTTTTTAAGAATTCTCTTCTGCTCACCAAGCCTGCATTTATCATTACTCCAATCACATGATCCTTTTCTGATTTGCTGCTCATAACATTTATTATAATAATTATTATTATTATGTTGAAAACAGCAGAGTAGAATTTTTTTCAGGTTTCTTTAATGAATAGAAAGTTCAGAAGAACAGCATTTATCTGAAATATAAATTTTTTATAACATTATAAATGTCTTTATCATCATTCACTGTGGGCTATGAAGCTTTTGATCAATTTAATTCAACCCCACCCCCACCCATTATTTCAGATAAATGCTGATCTTTGGATCATTCTATTCATCAAAGAATCCTGAAAAACTGTTTTAAATGGTGATAATAATAATAATTAAAAAAAATGTTTCTTGAACAGCAAATCAACATATTAGAATGATTTCTGAAGGATCATGTGACACTGAAGAATGGAGTAATGATGCTGAAAATTTAGCTTTGATCACAGGAATAAATTTCATTTTAAAATATATTCAAATAGAAAGCAGTTATCTTAAATAATAAAAATATTACTACTTTTGCTGTCTTTTGGATCAAATAAATGCATGGTTGGTGAGCAGAAGAGAATTCTTTAAAAAACATTACAAATTTTACTGTTCAAAAACTTTTTTTGACTGGTAGCGTAGGCAGCTATATATTTTCATGTTTTAAAATCCATTTATATTGTGTGAGAAAGATAGAAAGTGTGATTATAAAAACAACTAAATTAAATGTTTCCAAAATGTTATTTTATATTGTCAAATTCTGCAAAAAATAAAAATTTCAAGTAATAAAAAATTATATATATATATATATAATTAGTGCTGTCAATAGAATCTCAATTAATGATTCTACTGACTTTAGCAGAATGACATAAATAATTATCAAATCTGCTACATGTTGATCTGGCACCATAAATATCACCATCAGTCATTGAAAAATCCATATTAGTATCCACTAAAACTAGTGACAGAACAATATATTGAGCAGACAGTTTAATTGGATAATATTTGTGTGTTGGGTCAACTACAGCTCTATAAAATGCATGATGTTCTAAAAATTAGTATATTACAAAATGTAATGTGTTAAAAGTAATACTGTTTATTTATATAAATTATATATACAGGGGTGCACATAAGTTTTTCAGCCTGGTTCTTATATGAGAACCTGGAGATTTGGTTTGATCCTCACATCCCATCAAATATAACTATAAAAAATAAATTAATAATAGTTACAATATTATTGCACTTAATTTTAAAAATAAAATAATAAACTAAATAATAAAGTGTGATAATACTATTTTATTTTAAAATAAAAAGGGAGTAGTAAATACAAATACAATTATTTTTATTGTAAACTTCAAAATAAAATGCTAATATTTTTATTATTTTAATCTGAACCTTAATTATTATTTTTAATTTGAATTATTTTAATTTTTAAACTTAAAATCAGCAAGTAAGTACATGCGCTTCTGGGTTTAGCGCTGCCGATTGTAGAGCGTCAGTGAATGAAATGTCACAGTTTTGCATTGTGCTTTGAAAATGTTAGCGGATAGCCTAGATTTATGCTTTCAGTTTGAATATAAAGCTTATACAGTATAGTTTGTCGATCTAAAATGGTAATTGTGCATTAACAGCTGTCAACCAAGTCGGTACCAAGCTGCAACCTCCCGCTCTCTCTCGTGAAGCCAACAAGGAAGTGACTTAAACTGTAATTCATCAACTGGCCGCTAGAGGCTGGCTGCAAAAGGGAGTCAATCCCATAGACTCCCCATGTTAAAATGCCCAACTTTACAGCAGAAAAAAACATGTTTACACCCTGATTTTGGCCTATATAGCTAATTTTGCTCTTGATGACAACTGTGAGGGGGGTGAATTTTTTTATTACTCATCCGTTTAAATTATATTAAGTCTTAAAGTTCTGCATAATTAAGGGTGTAGCCACTTGAGTGACAGGTGGATTGCCGCTGCTGTCACCACCGTCAAGCTAGGTGGGCGTGGTTTCAGCAAGCTGCTCCCACCTCTTTGCCCATTTTTGATTATCCAGGAGTGACGCGCTGCCAAGATGGCGACGGCCCGCTCCGCCCACTTTGAGCTTCAAAAACTCTCTTCGGAAATCTATGGGTGACGTCACGGACACTACGTCCATGTTTTTATACAGTCTATGGTCGGTACGCAAAAGCGCGCTCTGAACTCATTTACACAGCGCATTTCTTATTTTAGTCGCGCATGCGGACACACACATATACATATACATATATATATATATATATATATGTATGTGCGTGTATTAGTGCATTAGTTTAATTAAACAATTTACAAAAAATAATCATTTTAAATATATATATTTTTTGTCTCCCAAAGTATTTCGATCTGTTTCTGCAGTTTGAAAACCCCAGATGACAGTATGCAGATGTCTTTAATCTTTTTTTTAGAAAGACACCTACTTGTTTTGGCTTTCCGTGTTAAAACCGCGTCAAAATCAGAGGTGTCAATCTCCCAGGCGAGCACAGGCTTGTTGCTGGATGACACAACCTCCATATCACAGTTCCCATCTGAAGACACACTTTTCCCCCCTGAGTGACTCTGGGAAGGGGTTGTAGCGCTGGTCTTGACTAATGCTGTGGTGTCTGCATTGGTCGGTGGCGCATCTTCAGATGTGATAATGGGTCGGGCTCGGTTGAGCAGCGCATAGTCCGAGCAGACGGTGTAGAACTTCTCTCGGGAGTGTGTTACAGGGCAGGTCCATGGAAGCTGGAGCTCTGCGCTGGAGGCCCGTCGTACCCGCAGCGCATCACACGTCATCGGACTCAGGAAGCTGTGCTGACGCTCATCCTCTCTGGCCGGGGCCCGTGATGGGGCCTCCTGATCAGTCCTAGCAGATACCTTGGCGCCTTCACTTTCCACAGTGTTAGGCATTGAACGGAGAACTGGGATGATGGTTAAGAGAATACCCTACAGTTGTGCTCCAGCTGTGACGTACGTGATCCAAGAAGAGAGCTCAAAGAAGGAATTTCATCCACTGACTAAAATTAAGAACATGACAAACAGACAGATACTAAGAAACTGAATATAAGAAGAAATGTATAATATATAAAATTAATAAATAATAAATAAAAGCAATAATACTAAGGTTTTTCTGTCATACATTTTTCAGGAGTTTTTGTTAAAGGGGTCATATGATGCGATTTCAAGTTTTCCTTTCTTTGGAGTGTTACAAGCTCTTGGTGCATAAAGAAGATCTGTAAAGTTGCAAAGACTAAAGTCTCAAATCCAAAGAGATATTCTTTATAAAAGTTAAGAGTCAACCACGCCTACCTAAAACGGCTCGTTCTAACACGCCCCCACATGTCTACGTCACGACCCCTTTAAATAAAAATAGCATTTATTTGAAATAGAAATTTTTCTGTACTGTCATTTTTTATTTTGTTTTTATGCATCCTTGCTCAATAATAGTAATTTAAAAATAAATAAACAAATTTTTATTTTATTTATTTATTTGAAATCAAACATATTTTAATTAATTTCTGAGACATGTGCATCAGTAATTTTTTTAGGGTTATGCCAAGTGCAGAAATACACCCATCACAGTCATGAGGATCTCGGATTCATGGTTTTCTTGTCACAAGATTACAAAACTGATTCCTGCATGTTGGCTATGCCACACAGATCCCTAAATATGAATAATATTTTAAGATTGCTTTGAATTTGAGCCTTTTTCATGGATCTAACATCTAACATAACCACTTCTGGGTAGTAACTGATTACATGTAATCTGGATTATGTAATCAGATTCCAATAATTAAGTACTTGTAATTAGAGTATACTACATTTTAAAATGCTCATACTGTTACTTTTTTATGGATTTCATGATTACATATTATTTTTCCTCTTTTAAATTTTTCTTTCTAAAAATGCTATCGTGTGACATTCCATTTAGCTTTGATTATATTCTCAAAGATAGACGGAAAGAAATATTTCAAGGAATATATTTTCTCTGTTTGCTTTTTATATGTCAATATGGTACATTTGATGGTAAGCTTAAAACAAGTTTGATAAAAAGTAGTCAAAATACATTACCTAAAACAAGGAGTAACCGTTACTAACTACAATTTTCACCATGTAATCTGTAATCAGTAACAGACTACAATTTGTAAGTAATCTACCCAGCTGAACATAACTACATCCATTCATGTGAACAAAAACAAATACCTGCAATAATAAAAGTATGGTGGATTTTTGTGAACTAAGGTGTGGGTTGAGACTGTTGACTCCATCACTATGATTATATAGTGCTAACCTAGGCCAGAGACTGCTATAGATGAAATATTGGATGAAAATAATGGACCAGTCACAGCTGACAGCAGCTTTCAACTATGTTTCGTCGTTTAAATAGATGAAAGCATGGTACCACATGGTTGAATTCCTCCTCTATCATCATCGTCGTCGTCAACACTACCATTGTTTAGGTCATTCTTCATCGATGACGGTCGGCAGGCAAGGCAACAATACATTTCAGGACTAGATTACAAGATAAACCGCCGCAATATAAATTTAAACCACCGAAGACACCGTATAAATAACGCAGATATATGAATAGCTAAGCAGGATCAGTGTAGCCATTTTCTTCGAAAGAACATGAAACGTCATTTCAGGACGCAAATATTTATCCATATTTACTTAATCATCATTAAAATAATGCAAAAAGAGTAAATCTGCACCTACCTGGCCAATTCTGCAGGAATAAATTAATTTTACTGCGCTGCGCGACCTCTCTGTTGGACTGCCTCGACGGGCTCTACTAATCTCAAACATAGGGGTGTTGTACGACATAATAAATGGAAATGTTTCTTACATCGGATTTAAACGGTTTAAATAACAGTCTAACATAATAATATACATATTTTAAGCATGTCTGTATAAAACATTTCATGTTATGGCAGATAGTTGTGTAAATGTAGATAGTCTGTATAATAGTTCCACCTCCGTTGGTCAAATCTTTCAGAGGAAGTAGAGCGTGGTTGTCTTAAAAGTGGACTGAACTGCTTGCAAATGAACTGAACTGAAGCAGGTGCAAGACCGGGGTAGGTGAGCAACAGTAAAGCGAGTTTATGAAGTATGACTGAAAACTGAAGGGATTCCACGATGAAACGGTTTATTGAAAATGTTTTCCTCGTTAAACGTACAAAGGCATATACATTAGCATTTTTGCAGTTTAAGATTTAACCTGCAGAAAGTGACCTGATTAAAAGTTTGGATAGATAGATAACAACTGTAATAATAAAGAAAATATATTAGAAAATACATTTCATGGTCATTTATACGGTGTTGTCTGTTGTTATTTTTTTATACATATCATGAAAATCTTTTACTTATATAACGTCAAATTTCATGTTAACTTGATTACACATTGCTTTACAGAAAGCTTATGACCTACTTGCTATGTCTCACCTTAAGAACAAATGGTGCAATCAAGTACTGAGTTGGTTACAAATTAACTAGTTACTTATCTCCATAGTTAACATCCCAGTTGTATATGATTAAGTGCCCTTACCAGACCGATGTTTCCAGAATCTAACCAGCATGGCTCAGAAGCTGCTGATAATCGACACAGACTGTGGCATAGATGATGCTCTGGCTATCATAGTTGCTCTGGCAGCTCCTGGTGTGAAGGTGTTGGGCATCACCTGCTGCTTTGGGAACACTGATGTGGATAATGTGTGTCAGAATGTGATGCGGGTTCTGACAGTCTGTCAACAAACCCAGGTCAGTGCAATTATAACAGTACCAATACAACTGTCAAGACCTAATATGATATGAATGTTAAGATTACATTGTATTGCATTGTTTGACCTCAGATTCCAGTTTTTAAAGGGTCTGCTCGTCCTCTAATCGGACCTGTGACAGGATTTAAAGATCACTTTGGCACAGATGGACTTGGAGATGTTCTAGAGAACTCTGAGATTTGGAAATGGCAGATTCAGAAAGAGCATGCACTTCATGCTTTAATAAGACTGGTAAATGAAAACCAGGGAGAGGTAAGCAATAACTATTTAATAACTGTTTATTTCTAGAATACTGATTTAAAAAGTTTAATAAAAAGAAATATTAAAGAACCCTTTAAGCAAAGGTAACATTTTGTCAACATATGCATCATTTTGCTTGCTTTAAGTTAATTAAGTCTTAGTTCATACGTTCTCAATTAAAGCTCAATTTTGAGGCACTATGGACTTTTTTCCAAGGTTTTGTTTATTTTATTTTGCCGCGTAGTGTTTAGGAACATTACATAAAGACATCCTAGTACCCTCATAGCAACAAGATGAGTTGAAAATGAAACAAAACAGCAAAAAAAAAAAAAAGAAAAGCTATCAGCTGAAATCATATTAATTTATTATTTTAATTAATTCCCTTAATAATTGGCATTTTATTTAATAATTAGGATTCTAAAATCTGGTAGAAATTAATAAAATAAATGGAAAACCCCTGTAATCACAAACAACATTGTTAATATATTGTAAACCATGAAGAATGTTTAGTTCTTGAAACTTCTGGAATTATGAAACATATTTTTTAATGAAAATTATTTGTTAAGTTAGTGTATTGCCACTCCTAGTTTGTTAATTAAAAAAAAAAGTTTGAAATTGAGCAGCATTGACATTCCTGCAAAAGTGTCAGAAATATCTTAAAGGGCATTCAAAATTTTGACAATGGGGGGTCCCTTGGAGTCAAAAAGAGTGAGAACACTTTTTGAAGTTAGAGTGTTTGTTTCCTGCTGAATTTTGTGCTGCCATCTTGTGGTTGACAATGGAATGCACTTGCAAAGCCCTGTTTGTTTACTCATACGCAGGTATCGCTCATAGCTCTTGGTCCATTGACTAACTTGGCTTTGGCTGTTAGATTAGATCCCACCCTCCCTCAGAAACTCAAGGATGTTAACTTGATTACACATTGCTTTACAGAAAGCTTATGACCTACTTGCTATGTCTCACCTTAAGAACAAATGGTGCAATCAAGTACTGAGTTGGTTACAAATTAACTAGTTACTTATCTCCATAGTTAACATCCCAGTTGTATATGATTAAGTGCCCTTACCAGACCGATGTTTCCAGAATCTAACCAGCATGGCTCAGAAGCTGCTGATAATCGACACAGACTGTGGCATAGATGATGCTCTGGCTATCATAGTTGCTCTGGCAGCTCCTGGTGTGAAGGTGTTGGGCATCACCTGCTGCTTTGGGAACACTGATGTGGATAATGTGTGTCAGAATGTGATGCGGGTTCTGACAGTCTGTCAACAAACCCAGGTCAGTGCAATTATAACAGTACCAATACAACTGTCAAGACCTAATATGATATGAATGTTAAGATTACATTGTATTGCATTGTTTGACCTCAGATTCCAGTTTTTAAAGGGTCTGCTCGTCCTCTAATCGGACCTGTGACAGGATTTAAAGATCACTTTGGCACAGATGGACTTGGAGATGTTCTAGAGAACTCTGAGATTTGGAAATGGCAGATTCAGAAAGAGCATGCACTTCATGCTTTAATAAGACTGGTAAATGAAAACCAGGGAGAGGTAAGCAATAACTATTTAATAACTGTTTATTTCTAGAATACTGATTTAAAAAGTTTAATAAAAAGAAATATTAAAGAACCCTTTAAGCAAAGGTAACATTTTGTCAACATATGCATCATTTTGCTTGCTTTAAGTTAATTAAGTCTTAGTTCATACGTTCTCAATTAAAGCTCAATTTTGAGGCACTATGGACTTTTTTCCAAGGTTTTGTTTATTTTATTTTGCCGCGTAGTGTTTAGGAACATTACATAAAGACATCCTAGTACCCTCATAGCAACAAGATGAGTTGAAAATGAAACAAAACAGCAAAAAAAAAAAAAAGAAAAGCTATCAGCTGAAATCATATTAATTTATTATTTTAATTAATTCCCTTAATAATTGGCATTTTATTTAATAATTAGGATTCTAAAATCTGGTAGAAATTAATAAAATAAATGGAAAACCCCTGTAATCACAAACAACATTGTTAATATATTGTAAACCATGAAGAATGTTTAGTTCTTGAAACTTCTGGAATTATGAAACATATTTTTTAATGAAAATTATTTGTTAAGTTAGTGTATTGCCACTCCTAGTTTGTTAATTAAAAAAAAAAGTTTGAAATTGAGCAGCATTGACATTCCTGCAAAAGTGTCAGAAATATCTTAAAGGGCATTCAAAATTTTGACAATGGGGGGTCCCTTGGAGTCAAAAAGAGTGAGAACACTTTTTGAAGTTAGAGTGTTTGTTTCCTGCTGAATTTTGTGCTGCCATCTTGTGGTTGACAATGGAATGCACTTGCAAAGCCCTGTTTGTTTACTCATACGCAGGTATCGCTCATAGCTCTTGGTCCATTGACTAACTTGGCTTTGGCTGTTAGATTAGATCCCACCCTCCCTCAGAAACTCAAGGATCTGTACATTATGGGCGGTAACATGGAAGGTAAGAAAATGAGCTGCAGTACAAAAACTGGCCACCTTAATTGGATGGCAGCAAATTGTACTTTTCATATCAGCGATTATGTATTAAAGGGGTCATATGATGCTTTTTTAAAGATCATTATTTTGTGTATTTGGTGTAACAGAATATGTTGACATGCTTTAATGTTCAAAAAACACATTATTTTTCAAATACTGTACATTATTGTAGGTCCTCTATGCCCCGCCTCTCTCAAACGCTTCGTTTTCTACAAAGTCCCGCCTTCCGACAAGCGCAGTTATCTCTTTGGGTTTGAGACTTTAGTCTTTGCAACTTCAGGGATCTTATCTATGCACAATCAGCTTGTAACACTCCAAAGAGAAAGGAAAACTTGAAATCGCATCATATGACCCTTTTTTAAATAAAAACCAAGGCAGTGCCAACAACAGCACACGTCAGGACACGTACCCCAATCAGGACGCTTTCTACTGAGCTTCATCCGACCACTGTTCATTTTCCAGGCAAGGGAAATCTGACACCATCTGCAGAGTTTAATTTTAGTATGGACGCTGAATCAGCTTATGTAGTTTTGGAAGAATATACCTGCTCAACACACATCGCAACCTGGGAGTTCACTTGCGGAAACAAACTATCTTGGGTAAGAGCTGCCCATTGTGAGCAAAATCCATTCTAACATGAATATATTTTAGGCCTGACTCATTTATGTGCTTAACATTTTTCCAGGAGTGTTTTGATGAGCTGGTCAATCAGGATACATCAGCTGCTCGATTCCTGAAGAAGATAACCTCCAAGTGCTGGGCCTACTCCAGAGAACCTCGCATCATCAACAAAGATTTGTTCTTTGGGCACGGGTTTGTACCCTACGACACCTTCGCTGTGGCAGCTTGTGTGGACAGCAGCATGATCACAGAGAGTTTACAGTGTGCTGTACGTGTGGAGGTACAAGGTCAACTGGGACGAGGCATGATGGTTGTGGACCCAGCCAATACGCTAAAGAAAGACCATCTTGTCTTTGTGATGAGGACATGTGATCTTAAAAAGTTCAGCTTGATGCTGAAAGCAGCTTTACAAATAGCATAGAAATGCTTCTTTGCAATAGATTTGTATTACAAGATTTCCATTTTCAAATGTAGCATCCTTTGCACTTTATTGGTGCAACTAACCCTGTTCTGTTATCGTTCCAAACCAAAGACTCTTAATTAATTTTCAAAACACAAAAGAAAATATTTGTAATAAAACCTAAGAGATTTCTACGGTGGGCCAGTAATGCATAACACAACGAAATCTCCACAACACAATGGAAACAAGCCACAACACAAAATTAGCAATGAAAACAAGCCGCAACAACGAAATTAGCCCAACACAATGGAACAAGTCGCAACACAACAAAATTAGCACAACACAATGGAAGCAAGCCACAACAATGAAATTAGTCTTTTGCATTGTGTTGTGGCGATTTCGTTGTGTTGTGCACTACTGGTCCACCGTAGATTCCTATCTGCACAACCAAAACTTTGATGCTAAAAAAATATAAAAGTCATAAAAGTAATCCATATTAACCATTCATTGATCCGTTTAAATAAGGAAGAAAAAGCCTAAATTAATTCTATTCATCATATAAAGTGATAAGGTCTATTTTCAGAAGAATTGGATTAAACTTCTTGATTTATATGGATTGCTTAAAATATTTTTTGAATCTGTTTGAATCATCAAACTTTTGATTGCATGGACAGAAATATCCTTATTGATGTTTTGAAAATGTAAATCTAGGTATGAGATGAGGTGAGTAAATGACAGTTTTCATTTTTGGGTGAACTATCCCTTCAATTTAGGCAGAAATAAAATGAGAAGTCAATATTCCAGCCTGATATGTTTATTTCAACCAATGTGACCAAAACATTAACTCTAGAAGTGACAAATGAACGATGCACAGAACGCATTTCAAGTTCTTTAAGCTCCCTCAAATTAAAAGCCAATTTCAGCAAATTAAGCTTTTCACTTTAAGCAGAGGGCAATTAAAATTAAAATAAAATCTGAATCCTGAATGCATTTACGATTTGGCTTTGATTCAGAGGGGTTCAAATCAATGTGGTCATTGTAGTCTTGGCAACCACATGTATCTTTCTGAACATTAAATCAACCAACAAATACGGCCAGAAAATGCTCTAAAATGAATGAAAACATCTCAAACCAAAATGACAGCATTGAAGGAGTGGTGTTTTACACAAAGTGCTTATTTTAAGGTTGAGTAACACTGCATCTTGCATTTTAATACAGTAATACTGGACCAATACTTTAATATCACTCAAAATAGGGAATCTCTAAAATCGTAAAGAAAAACACCCCTACCAGGGCAATAGCATTAAGCCAATGTCTTCAATCTTTCGTTCGCTTTGTTAGCTCAAATTGAACTTAAGGCATTTTTATGATACCCCACTAAAATAAATATTTAGATTGTATTTTGAGGGGGACTTGTAAATGCAACACTGGGTTTCCAGTGGACATTTGTACCATTACAATTCAAGATTTCTTCCAATCATTAAAATGATCTTGGTGTACAACATACTGTTCAACCAGGAAAAATAAAATAAGATTAGAAACCACTGCATTTTCTGTTGCCCAGTGGGCTGTTGTGTCTCAGATGCCGTTGTTGTTGTCGGGGCTGTTAGGCCAGGGCTCCGAGTTCCAGCGATTGAGTGAGGGAGACCACCCCATGCTCCAGGGGTTGTAGGTGCGGCCTATGTCATTGGGGGCAGGTGTGGGCGGCGCAGTGTGGCTGACCAAGTCAGGGAGAGCGGAGGAGGTAGGAGGACTGAAGGAATGCAGGGTGGAGTCATTGCCAGTGGACCAGATGGACCTGCTGAAGGACCAGGGACTGTGTGCACTCCCCAAAATGGACTGAAGACAGGCAGAAAGAGAAAGATGATCATCTCATAGCCTGCAGAACTACCTTTATATACAGTCAGGGGTAATCTGAAACATGTTAAAGGTGGGGTAAGCGATTTCTGGTAGCCAATGTTGACATTTGAAATCACCAAAACAAACACGCCCCTACCCCAAAAGGGTCTCGCCCCTATTTTGATAGCTCCGCACCACACATACGTACGCAACCCAGGCAACTATTAGTTCTGTGAAACAAAGCAAAACTAGCGCTTTTCTAGGCACTCAAAGCGCTTTACATTGTCAGGGGGTATCTCCTCATTCACCACCAGATATCTATATATTTATGATATAGATATATATATACATATCTATGGTCTACACTGGATGCGGCGCAGCACAACACGACAAATCCCCGACAGAAAACTGCTGCTGCGTTCTATTCATGACGTATTGACACAAGTTTCAAATGATTTTCAACGGTCGCTTTGTCGCGTCCAGTGTACTAGACTGACTTTAGCTGTTGCAGCGCAGACACGGTGTTACTCACCTATCGAGAAGAAACAAAGCAACCTCGGCGTCGATGTTTTCCTCTT